TATCATTTATTTTCCTGCACACAATCATAGTATATTATAGGCATCATTTTCTCCTGCCTTTTTCACTTATATCTTGAGGACTATTCATATTAATATATATTGTCTCATTCTTAACAAAGCATAGTATTGCATTTTAGAGACATAAAATACTTTAATCTGTCTTTTGGGAATAGTCATTTGGGGTGATTAAAATCTTTATGCATAGCTGCGCATGGTGGCGCATGCCTATAGTCCCAGTTACTTGGGAGGCTAAGGCAGAAGGATTGCCTGAGCCCAGGAGTTTGAGGTTGCTGTGAGCTAGGCTGATGCCACAGCACTCTAGTCTAGGCAACAGAGTGAGACTCTGTCTCAAAAAAAAAAAAAAAAATCTTTATGCATTATATCCAAGCATTGCAACATGCATTATGTCACAATCAAGTCGGCTTTTCTATAGGATATACAACTAGAGCAATCTTGCGTTAATAGGTCATTTTGAATTTTGATAAATACAAATTCAAAATGCCTCCAGAGAGATGGCTGTGCCAATTACACACCTATTGGCAATGTATGCCTGTGTCATGTTTCCCCTTACTCTGGCCATTAGTGTTATCAAGTTTTAGAATTTGCTAATTTGACAAGCAAAAATGGCATCTTATTGTAATTTATATTTTTATCAGTGAGCTTACACATCTCTTCGTGTGTGTGAACTGTCTGGTCACATCTTTCACATACTTATATATCAGATTATTGGCCTTTAAAAACTTGATTGTAGGGATTTTATATGACAAGAATATTAACCCTTTGATATGAATTGCAAATATTTTCCCAGATTCGTATTAACTATTTGTGCATCTTGCCACTCAGACTTTTACACTGTAGTTGAATTTATCAGTCTTTATAAAAAAATAACTCCTGGATCCCCAGATTTTATAAAGTTCTTACTCATAAATCATAAAACATTTTGCTGTTTTTCACCTCACATTTATATGGCTTTTTCATACTTAAAATTTTTACTCCACGAAGTAACTTATTTTGATGAAAGTCATGAAGTAGGACTTCAACTTTGTTTCCCAATGACCACTCACTTGTCCTCGCTTAAGTAACCCATCCTTATTCATTTGCAAAAACAACTTTATATTCTACAATTCTTATATGCATTTTTGTTATTTTTAAATTGACAAATAAAAATGCATATATTTATGGTGTACAATGTGATGTTTTGATACATGTATATATTTGTGAGATGATTAAGTCAAACTAGTTAACATGTCCAGAACCTCACGTTTTTTGTAGTAAAAACATTTAAGATCTACTCTCTTAGCAATCTTCAAGTATACATTAATTACGGTAACTGTGTTGCACAATATGTCTCCAGAACTTATTCCTCCTGATTGCAACTTTGTACCCTTTGACCAAATTTCCCCTTTTGCCTCCTCTCCCCAGCCCATGGAATCGCCCTTCTACTCTCTGCTTCTGTGAGTTCAACATTTTTAGATGTCATATGTGAGATCACACAGTATTTGTTTTTCTCTGGCTTGTTTCACTTAGCAAAATATCCTCCAACTTCACCCATGTTGTTGCCAATGAGAGATTTCCTTTTATGGCTGAATAACATTCCATTGTGTACACATATATTTGCGTTATCCATTTGTCTGCTGCTGGACACTTAGAATGATTTCTTATCTTGGCTATTGTAAATAATGCTGCAATGAACATAGGAGAGCAAATACCTCTTCAATATACTGATTTCATTTCCTTTGGATATATACCAAGTAGTGGGATTGCTGGATCATATGACAATTCTTTTTAACTTTTTGAGGAACCTCCATACTGTTTGCCATAATGGCTGTAGTAATTTACATTCCCACCAACAGTGTACAAGGGTTCCCTTTCCTCTGTATCCTCACCAACACTTGTTATTTATATGCATTTGCATCTGTTGGTCTACTTGGTTTCATTATTTGTCTTTTATAAGAACCAATACCATATTACTTTAATTATGTAGTTCTATAGTATGTTTAAATATTTGGTAAGATTAGTTTATCTTCTTTGCAGGGATTTTTGGGAGACATTTTTATTTTTCTATATCAACATTTTTAAAAATACTCTTTTTATCCAAGAATATAATAAACCTTCAAGTGATTTTATCTTATGTTTCTCATTGGCATTTTAAAGTTTTCTTCACTAATCAACTGAATAATGTTTTTTAAAAAGCCCTCCTCCTTTCCACTTTATTTTCAATATTTCTATTTTTTTTATCTTATTTAAATACAATGGCTATTAAGTCTGGAACAAAGCTAAGTAATGACAAATAACACCACACCGTGATCATTAGTTCATGTTGGACTATTTATAATATAATGAAGCCATTGCCCAACCTCAAACTAGATCACTGTCAATAACTTACTCTACTTGCCGGCCTCCTCTCACCACCAAGGTAAACACTACTGAGAATTTTTTGTTCATTCTTTTGGTTTTTGGTTTCGGTTTTATCATATATGAGATAAATGTATCATATATAGTCAGTTATATATAGCCAATTTTCATTTTTCAGTGAATTAATTTCTCACTAATATTTATTTCTAATTCCACCATTAATACTTACAGTTTTTGAAATTATTTGTGGACATGCAGAGTGTTGAAAAATTTGAATTGCCTGCCATGCATGTTCCCAGCAGAGGTGGAACAAAGCCTTGTTTCAGCTTCCATAAGCAAGTATCCTTTTCACAGTCTCTTTTTTATATTCTGTGTTTTTGTTGATTTTGCTGCTTAAAATGGTAACCAAACATAGTGTGGAGCATTCCTAAGTGCAAGGCGGCTGTGATGTGCCTTATGGAGAAACTGTATGTGTATTGTTGGCTAAGTTCAACGTTAATGGATCAACCATAGATTAGTACGTTAAATAAGTTGCCTTTACACAGAAACACACATGTAACAAGGTTATGTTTTCATAGGCTGATGAAAATATGGCCAGAGGCTCCTAGGAACCCAACCCTACTTTTCCTCTAGGAGTAATGGTGTAGTACTCACTAAGTGTTCATGGTTATTTTATGGAACAAAACTACTGTGGATAACAAAAATGACTGTATACATGCGTGCGCATGCACACACACACACACACACAATTTTTACATACAGTTGTTCTTCAGTATCCGTGGGGGACTGGTTCCAGAACCTTCCTACCAAGATCCTCGGATGTTCAAGTCCCTAGTATAAAACAGTGTAGTATTTGCATATAACCTATATACGACCTCTCACTTACTTTAAATCATCTCAGGATTACTTACAATACCTAATACAATGTAAATCCTATGTAAATACTTATTATACTATAAAAAGTATTCCGTTTAGGGAATAATGACAAGAAAGTAAGTTTGTACATGTTCAGTACAGACGTGATCTTTTTTCCCCCGAGTACTTTCAATCCAAAGTTGGTTGCATCCGTGAATGTGGGAAGCACAGATATAAAGGGCCAACCGTATGTCTAAATAAATTTAGTTTCACTTGTTTTTGACTTTATATATTTCTAGTAATTAGCCTTGGAATTTTATTATGTATACTTAAAAAGACTAAAGTTGATATTAAGTACCAATCCCTAAGAACACTGAAACATTTCAACTCTAACCCTCTTCCCACCATGCATCCTATATATAAACTCACGATTTGGCCCAATCATTATCATTTTGCAGATAACATCTGCTTACATTTATTTCCCTTTATGTAAGTCATCATTACTATTCACACTTTATAACCCTCACAACTTTTATTTCCCAAGGTTACATACATACCTCTGAGCCAGAGTTGAGATCCAGGCTGGGGTTCATGATGCTTATTACTTTCAAACTGCATTTAGCTTTAGGCATACCTATCACTTACTTATGTTGACTATAGCAGGTACTATTCTCTGCAAGTGTTAACCTGACATTCATTAATTCATCAAAATCCTCACAATACCCTAACAGGCTATGTATTATCATGATTCACATCTTACGACTCCTAGGTTTGTCTTTACAAATATGTCTAGGTTACATATATCAGAACTGACATTAGGATCCAGGCCTTTTTGATTCCCAATTGCCTTCATTTACCTTTTCACTCCAGTATGTAATATGCCCCTCAATAAAGACTTCTTTCTCAACAGAAGACATCTCACAGTGGCCAGGTAAAACTTTGGGATACCAGATGAAAGGGATGTTTAAGGTTACCTAGACAAGTACTCTATCCTGGGAAATGTCATTTACTTTTTGCTAAGAATCAGCTATTGGCAGACTTCAACATAACTCAAGGCTACTCTCAAGTTACAGATAGCACTTGAAGAGTTTTCTGAAATTTTAAACTTTAACCCATAGATACTAATTTTGCCTTCCTGAGCCAAAGTGGCAAACAGCTCCATCCTACTATTAATGTATTTTAAGACACCAACTACACACAATACTCTTTTAGTTCAGATAAAGTACGTAATTCTTTCCACTATCTTTTCTACATGGATTCTCATTTTCATTTCCTGTGGAAACCACACAAACCATCAAGAAATGGTTCAGTTTTGTCAATGGACACTTTGCATATTGAAAACCAAAATAACAATTCGGTAAAGCAGTTAATCCTCACCATGGAGAAGGCTGTCTTTCTACCAGTGTGGATACATGGGTCCCAGGACTGAGATCTGTATCCATCCTCTTTTTCTTCTCTCACTCACTAGCACATCTCTATGTACAGTAATATTGTGCATAAAACCCTTTGTACTGCCATCTATTTAAGATGTTATGGAGAAGTGATCAAAACAAATTTTCTGTCCTGATCATAGGCAAAAGAGTGGGGAGAAAGTGCCATGGCAAGACTAGCATGCAGGAAGGCTACCTGGTGTGGGCAGTTGAAGCTAAAGCTAAAGATACAGCTCCTGATGATGAGTCACGCCAAACACGTAACAAACTGGTACCTATAGTACTCATTTACTGGTTTCTGTGTGAGCTCTAGGACATTTTTCCCCCTTCAAATAAGCAATAAAATCACATAAAATGGAATTCATTTACAAAAGGTAGGCCATGTTTATTAGAGTCACTAGCAACTGACTGACTCAGTGTGACTCAAGACCACAAAGAAACCATTTCGCCTTCACTTCATACTGAGTCCTAGGGTGAGACCCAGACTGGCAGGAGTTCTGCCTGGGGCCTATTCACAGGTTTACAAGCTTCTCATTGAGGGCAATCTGTGACTGTGTGAGATTGGCCAGGTAGGTCACCATTAGCAGGTCCTAGAAGACAAAGAATACACACTAAGTGAGGGGCTGGGAGGAAAGGGAACTGAAAGGTTGATCGAGGCCCGCTCCATGGTGGACACTGGGTGTGAGGCAGTCCTGGATAAATGACAGCTGACAGATTGAACAGAGTCCAAGGTGGAACACAGGAAGGACATGCTTGAGAATATCTTCTCATCTCTACTGATACACTTATATACTTACTTATACACCACTTATATAGTGGTGCTATAGCTGAGATCCATGGGGAGACTATAGGGGGTCTGTGAACTCAGACGGGGAAAATAAGAAATTGTACTTTCATTGCCCTCTGAATTTTAACATTTCTTTCCCTCATGAATCTAGACATGTCACAGTATTATCAGCAGTAACTGAGACAGTGGAATGAAGGACGGAGAAAGAAGGGAATCTCCAAGCACATGTACCACCTTTTCCTTCCTTCCAAGCTAGACTGTAAGGGGGCTATTGGTGAAGCCCGGCCTCCTCTATTCTACTCCAGGCCACCTCACCCAACTCCCTTCACATTTCTATGTGCTGAGGTGGGGGAAGAACCAGGCTCCCAGAGGCCCAGGAATGGCACTCACATTGATGTTGCTGTTGAGCATGGTCTCGAAGTCATCAGGAGCTATTTTGGGTACTTGGTTAACCAGGCTCATCAAGAAGCGACCCACAGTATTGTCAGCTGACACCTTTCCAGACTGAGCACCAAAACAAAAATTCAATGAAGCACAGTTAATTCTAACTACTGAACACCATCATTTCATCAGTGGTCCCAGAGTGGACATCTGCATCCTCCCCTTTGTTACTCTGTGCCCCTCTCACCAGCACATCCTCTGCATACTGCAACACTGTGCTTAAGGCATCCTGGATGCGAGCTGATGCCCCTCCTACTTGCTGCAAGTCACTTGAGAGTCCGATCACTCGGTTGGGGCTAAAACAGGTCTTCATGATCAGGTCAACTGTGGGAGTTGGTTGTTGGGGGTGGGCGTGATGGTAGGTAAGAAGAGACAGAGAATTCAGTCATCCCATCAGAAAAGACACAGTCTCTAACTGCCCTTTCTCTCTTTCTTACCTCTCTTTGGACTCAGTCACCTTTCCCAGACTCCCTGCTCTGCCCTTTCTAGCTTTTCTTTCTCCTGACAGAGCTCAATCCCTTCACCCAGTATGTCAATCGCTGGTTTTGGTCTCTGTGAATGGTCACGTGGCCTCTGGTGACAATAATTTCCCACCTCTCACAATTTCTCTAATAATTCCTTAAGTCCCATTTATATAGGAGAATGACTGTGACTTCTAGCTATCACAAGCTTTAGATCACTGGTTCCTTTTTAAACCACCCAAGGCCTTCATCCTTGTTACAGAACAGCAGCTCCCTCCCCTGAAAATGCCTAAGACCTCTAAGGAGTGCATGAGAGGGTTACTCACCACCAATGCGTTCAGTGTCATAATATGCATATTTCACTGTCAGAGGTGTGAACATCACTCCCATGGTCCTTCCAGGGACACCCATTAAAGTGCTGGGGAGAGAGAAGTCAAAATAAACAAATGGCCTTGGGAAAGGGTTTCCATGCCTAAACAGGGCTGTGAAAGCAGTCAATAGGAGTATGGCTTCCAGGGTTCTGAGATAAGAAGGCTGGGACCACTTGAACCTCGAAGATCATACAGGAGCAAAAGTCACCTTTCCCCCTTAGCTCATTCCACACACCAAACCCATCTCCCGTAAGAGGATACTCAGCCTTTGGATCTGGCTTGGTCCTTTTAGAAAATTATTAATACTTCGTACACTGTGTAATGTCAATGATGAGAGGACGGGCCTCTGGATTTCTCTGTGGAGCTGGCTGCCTAGACACCCATCCCCATGGAAAGAAGAAACAAAAACAGGTCTTTTCTAGGACTAAGCCCTTCATTAGCACTGAGAAAACAAACTGACTCTGGAACACCAAGACTAGACTGAGTGCTGTAAGTAATCTCACTAAAGATGTTGTCTTCTCAACTCTATGCTCAATAGGCTGGCTCTTATACCTGGAAAGGCTAAGAAGTCAAGCAATGGCTAGAGCTTAGTGGTACGCCACCTTGCTTACAAGGCCTTGGCATTTACCACCTTTGTCTTACTGCACAACAGTTAACTGGCTGCAGTGTCAGACACAGAACCAGCACAAAAGTTAAACAGCGTAAGATATGCACTAACAAATGCCTTTACTCTTACCAGAAGATATAATCCTTTCAGCTCCCACGACAGCCTTTCTTCAGCATGCCACTAGGGACTTTCCCAACACCCTCCATCCCCGTCAACCCACATTTTAACTGCCTGCAAGCTCAATGTGTTAACACAGCAACAATGTCACTGTCACCAAAACTGCACTCAACTCTGGGTTAATAAATGTGTTCAAAATAAGGATGGTCATCCTTTAATCTGTACTATCCTGAGTACCGTGTTGAGTTCTAGGGATAACAACAAACTAAAGGGTAACTCAGAAAAGTAACGAACACGGTGAAGGATCATGACAAGAACACCTTGTGAGGACTGGCTGTAGGAATTGTAGATGATTAGGTTCCAGAAAGATGACTTCAAAGAAACACAATAGCTTGCTGAAATAACTGAAAGGGCTGCCATTTGAAATTGGTTAAGAGCAAGGAGTAGAAACCTGGAGTACAACTAGGATCAGTGAATGGAAATTACATGGACAGGTTCTGTTTCATAGTAAAACCTTTTGAATAACTGTTAACAGTTATTCTTGCTTAAGCAAGAGGAACAGGCTTCCTGAGGAGGCAGTGAGTTATACACTGAGGAATTAAACTTGCTTGAGGTGGGGGTGGGATGTCATCTAGGCATGGTATGAACTAGACTGCCTTTTATGCCCTTGTGGTTCAAGACTGTGGTCACCTGACATAGGCTTTGATGCTCATGCGGCCGTTCTGGAGACTTGTGTCCACAGTGAGGTGAATGGGGTTGGGGGCCTCCCGGCTGTAGTACTCATGGATCAGCACAGAGTGCTCTGTGATGTCGTGGCCTGTAGCGTACCTAGAAAATGGAACATAGTTGCAGACTCATCTCTATATAGGATATCAGAATCAAAAACAATAGTGGCATGGGTGTCTTGAGGGTATCTGACACTCCTAAGGTAGTGATACCTAGCAATGCCAAATGTCAAAAGCAATATACACACTGAAAACTAAGGCAAATCAAATCAAAGGCTGACTTAGAGCTTTTGAAAAATTCCATGTCACCGGCAAGGCAAAAAAGGACTTGCACAGAAAAAGCCACAATTCAAAATAAGTATTCCTGGCTTCACAGGATCAGAACTGCCAGCAAAACACACCGAATTCATAGATCCTCAAGGTAATACATTTCAATACTCTGTCTTCAAAAGGAAGACAAAATCTAGTCTGGTGGTAAAGGACCTCAGCAATCACTGAGAGGCTTTCCATCCCCAACTTACCAGCCCAGGATGAGCTCATTTGGAGAGACTTTTTTGTGCAATTCATACATGTTCTTAGCAAATTCCATGTCAACAGCCACCTGAGAGGGAAGGCAGGAAAGGAAGATAAGAAGCCACCAAGTCTACATAAAAACTGGACAAAAAGGAGACAAGAGGCCACCCCCAACAGACAGACGAGGCCCAGGAAATACATACAAATAAAATGAAGCTCCTTGGTTATAGGAGCTCCAGTTATGAGCACAACATACTGTGTAGGAGGGGCCTTGAAGGGAGCCTAAGCAAGTGAACAGCTATAAACTACAGCTCAAATTCTCACTCACTTCATCTTCTGACTCATTGTGCGGCACTGAAAAGCAATTGGTGACCTCCACTGAGTGCTTGTCAACAGTTCCTGTAAAAGAGAGAATCGTCCATGTGTTATATAATCCTAATCCCAACAGCCTCTGACTACTTTTGAAATGCATTTGGTGATCTTCTCAAAGTCAATGAACAGCAAACTGAACTCCTTAGCTCCTCCAAGTTCAGTCATGTGCATTAAACGGGACCGGAATTCTCCAGGGAACTGGAGTGATCTCCAGCTTCTCCCTCTAACCATCACTAAATAGGGTTTTCTTCCCTCACAAGGTCTCACCTTGGCCTATCTGCTACTTCCCACTACGAGCCCTCTCCCAGACCTTCACTCTATGACCTTTGTTTTTCAGCCTCTAGACACTCTCCCTATAATTTAATTTGCAGAGCTACCTGGAAGATTTTAATGTCTATACCGAATATCAAATACAGTAGCCTCATCTCAGACTCTGAGCACAACTCTATGGAGCTTCACTTGTACCTCCCTTCAGCCATCTGGCCCCACGGTCATATCCTTAACCTACTTATCATCTGGAAACCCTCTACCTGTGAACCTTAAATGTCAACAGTTCAGTTTTTTACCACAAACTTTTGTTCTTCTAGTTCTGAAACCTCTACTCCCACCCACTACATTTGTTTCCTGACTATGAAGACCGCTAATTCCTTGACTTCTCCAATCTCTTCTCATCTATCGGAACTCCTACTCCAGGCTTCAAGTGCTTCTCTCTCTACTACAGTGCTTCTATCTCTACTAATGTTGCCTGTACCCACTATTATCTAATTCCAATTCAGCATGGATTCCGCTCCCTTAGCTGAAACTATGTCCTTAAACCAAACGGCTATATATTCTTTATCTTATTTGACCTTTCATCAGCATTCAACAGACGTGACTACTACCTCCATCTTAAAACTTTCTTTTCTTGGGCTTCCCTGATACCAATCTCTCCCACTCCTTCCTCTGACTTCTCAGGTTTTCAGGGTTCTGTCTTAGTTCTATCCTTTTACTCTATGTTCCTTTTCTAGGTCAGGCTCTGAGCTCTGACATAGAAATGTTTCTGTAAATAAAAGTTACATGCCAATTTATGGCTGCTTTCTTGTCACAAAAAGTGTTAAGTAGTTGCGACAGAGATTGTACACAAAGCCTAAATTATTTACTGTCTAGCCCTTTACAGAGATTTGCCAATCTCTGCTTTAGATGATCTCATCTATTTTTATGGTTTCAATTAACTTGTATATTCCAATGACATAATTCCTAAATTGACATACTTGGCCACATCTCTTCTGTACTCCAGACTTTTATATTCAATTTTCTACTTGACAACTCCACCAGATTGCTCAATGGGCATCTCAAAATATATAGGGAATATATATATTGGGAATATATATCCCAAACAGAAGTAAACCTCTACCTTCCCTTTCTTCTTCCACAATTAACCAAAGATGTAGGAGTTTTCCTTGATATTTTCTTTCTAATCCCGCATTTCTGATCACATCAAGTCCTATCAACTCTATTTCCTATCTCTCAACTCATCCATTCTATCCACCCTCACTTCTCTAGTGCTTCCCTATTACTAGAACAGCCTCTCTCTGGTGTTCATGCACAGCTCATGCCTGTCTCTTATCCACTCTACAAAGCAGCCAGAGGGATCTTTAATTCCTACTCAGTCTTAGCTGAGATGCCAATTGCTCAAGATCTTCCCCAGATAGCCCCAAACTAGGTTAGACTTACATTTTGTCTTCTCATAGCTCTTGGTAATTCTCCTTCACAGCACCTTACACTTGTAATTATTTAATACCTCTTAATGGCTCCTTACTTTCTTAGCTTCATTTCCTGTTATATCTCTTCTCTCTAAATTTCTATAATACTGAACTCTTCAGACAGTGGACCTACCAGACTCTTTTATACTTCCTATAAAAGTTGCTTTAATGCCTAGCTCAAAGGTTATCTTTTCTGTGAAGTCTTCCCGAACCTTCTGAAATAGTTAAGTCTTCTGTATTTCCATGCCACTATGACATTCTTCTATTAGAGCATTTATCACATTATATTCTAATTATTTGCATAAGAGTATATTTCTATCTTGAGTTTAAGGCTACAGCAGAGCTCATATTATCTAACTTTGAATTCTAAGTACCTAACAGTTTCGTGTTACATAAAAGGCACCAATGACTTCATTTAACCAAATGAAATGTTTCATGAATTAATGTCTTACAATTTTAAGTTCCTAGCATGCAGAATCTATGCTTCATTCTTCCATAAGCATTGCCTCCATAAAACCTACAGCTCTGTGCCATGATCCCAGTCTGTAAGAGGATCTGAACATCTAGCTTATAGCTAGTCTGACTAGAGTCACTGTAATATCTGGGGCATTAAACATAAATCTTGGGTAGAGAATTGTTTCTTTAGTTAAACAGTTCCATGGAGTTTGGAAAATTTGACAGTGCAGCTGAAAGTGTATTTGTCTAGTGCTAATTCAGTGAGACAAAGATTATTTGTTACAGAAGCTCAAAGCAGGGCACAGTTACAGAATGTTATTGTACTGTGGAAAGTTAAGAATGAGGTGAGGGTTGGAATATGCGATGGAGGACTGAAACTTAACACTGTTCCTGGGAACCAGGAAGATAGGTGGAACTTAAAAAAAGTAAACAAGGGAGAGTAGGGAAGGTACTTGTGTCAAAAAATACAAAGGCTTGGTTTATGAAAAGACATGGCAATATTTAGAACGTATGAACTTGACTTTCTGTAAAATACTATACTGTCAAAGATAATGTGTGTGCATGGGTGTTAGGGGTGGTATAGGCCTGATGTAATGAATGGCAACCAACAGCTATACCTGATGAGAGCCAGCACAGTTAAAAGATTTTGCAACGATTTAGTTCTCACAAAGACTAAGTTCTTTAGTCCCTAAAGAACTAGACTTTAGGTAATTTCCCCCATGGCACATGGTTAATATTTAGAGGAGTCTATCTATAAATCTTAACTTCTTTGCGATACACCAATCGTCTTCTATGGAGTAAGATTGAAGAATAGGAAAGAGAAAGGATGCATGTAAGTGACGTGGGTTCACAAACATTAAAAATCTGCCACTAAAATGGAGTGGAAATGAATTTTGTGGGGATCAACAGCCTTCCCCAAAAAGAATTATCAACAATTCTTCTTAGTGCTTTTCTGTTTTACAAACTAATTTAACATAAAATATCTATTCCTCAAAATTGGAGCACAGGCATGGTAAAGATTATCCTTTGATCTGAAGGTTAAGCACAAAATGATAAACAGGTAATACAAATGTTTGTGTTCAAATGGAAAATAAGAGACAGTACTGGGGGAACAGTGTTTATCACATTAGATACTAATACTAGGGGACACTGGGGGACAGAGGCTCAGAAGTTTAGGAATGCAGAATATTATAAAATCCCTAATGAATTCAGCCAAACCCGTCTATTTTTGGGGAGAAATATCTTTTTATAAATGTCCCCACTCCTATGCTAACCAGTTAGAAAATTATTTGTCAACACCTGGAAAACAAAAATATATACTCAATGGATAAGAAGGAAAACCGTGGTTACTGGGCTTAGCGAGTCAAAGGTTCTTGACTTCCTACTCGTGTCTTAGCTCATTTCTGGCAGATTGGGGCTAATCATTCTTGATGTAAAATGCTGTTGGGAAAATTGAAAATAAAATGTAAATCAATCGGCATATATTTGTTTAACAAACAATAATAATCCTTGTATATTTATGTCGCTCAAAGTGACAGCAACCCGGTAGGTAAGAGCTTAGGAGAGGTTCAAATTCCTTGACGATAAGTCGCAGCAGTAAGGTGGGATGGAGAAATAGATAAGCGGTCGATGGAGATGGGAGAAGAGGGAAAGTAGGATGTCAGAGATAAAAGAGCTAATTAGAGAGGGGAGTGGGATAAACGTGGGGTGGCAGGAAGAAAAGGCTGTCAACTTTCTCCGACTACTCACCCAGCAGGGTCCCGATAACACGGGCAGCTCCCTCGTTTCGTCGCTCGTAGCTGTCCACGATGGAGGCCAAAATGACTGGGTGCAGCCTGACCACGCGGCCGCCAGGGAAGGGCCCTGGGAGAGCAGGACCAGTCAGTGAGGGCGCCGGGGTCTGCGCTGGGGCTTGCGCGGAGGCCGGGGTCTGGCCCGCAGCCGCAGTCGTAGCCGCTGCTGCCGCAGGGTCTGAAGATGAGGCCGGAGCCGCAGCTGGCGTCGGAGGTGGCGTTGGCGCTGGTGCCGGGACTGATGCTGGGGCTGAGACTGGGGCCGCCGCCGGGGCTGGGGCTGGAGTGGCGGGAGGATCACTTGCTGTTACTGCCGGTGTGGCCATCTTGTCGCGAAAGAAGGAGCCGGGAGCGGAAGAGAGTGAGTTAGTGACTATTAGGAGTTCGATAGGCTGACTGTGTACCACGTGAGCTACATCTTTGTGTTTATTGGTTACTAGTGATCCTTCTCGGGGCATTAAAACGTCCTGCTGGTATCAATTTCTTCCGGGGTGTGTGCTCTTTGCTTTAGGTCCGATGCACACTCAGTGAGAGCTGAGCTAAATAGTTCCGAGTAAACTTGGCACGGCGTTAGAAGAGAAACAACTCAACTCAGTTTGCGCGGCTGCCGCCAGGTGGAGCCAAAGAGCAGCACAAAGGTCGCAATTTGTGATTCAGCCTTAAATGGGACAATCGATGTCAAAGCACCTTTAAAAAGAGCTTTGTTCTTGACAGCGTCACAAGGTGTCAATAGGGCGGTTTATTCATTCAACAATTTGAGTGTCTAATATGTTCCCGATGCTCTTTAAAGCTCTTGGGATATATCTGTGGACAAATAGAGACAAAAATATTTGGCCTGGAAGAGTTTACATTATAGCAGAAAGAGACAAAGAAATAAATTATACAGTATATTAGAAGGTGATGAGAATTTCTGTGAGAAAGGGAAAACTAGCAGAGGGTAAAGGGGAATCAGGAGTTGGGAGGGGTTCGGGTAGGTTACAATGTGAAGTTTTATTAAAGACTTGAAGGAGGTGAGGAAGGCAGGACTTTGCTTTCAGTCTGAGTGAGATGGGGAACCTTTGAGTAGGGGAGAGTCCTGATCTGAGTTTTAAAAGGGTCATTCTTGCTGTCTTGAGAAGAAGACTGGGCTGGGGGTGGGGTGGGGAGAGAGAGGTGAGGGAGGAAGAGCAGGGAGACCTGCTGGGAGGCCACTGGGTAATCTAAGTGACAGATGATGGAGGCCAGGCCAGGCTGGTGGCAATGGGAGTGGTGAGAAGTGGGAAGATTATATTTGAGGATGGAGACAATCTGGTTTCCTGAGAAATTGTATGTGAGGTGTGAAAGGAATCAAGGAGGGTTCCAACTTTTTATGCTGAGTGGCTAGTAGGATGGAGTTGCTATTAGTTGAGACAGTGAGCACTACAGTTGCAGCAGGTTTTTGGGAAAAGATCCCCATTTCATTTCTGTATGTCTCCTCTGAGATGTCCATTATACATTCAAGTAGAGTTGCAGTCAGTTGTATTATATATAGTAGTCTGTACTTTGGGAGAGGATTAAATGAGGTAATGGTTTGTAAAGTACATGCCTGATAAACAGTAGTTATACAACTGGCTCCATATGCAAGAAACCATTTTTGTTATTTTTTTTTCTTTTAGTTCTTGTATGTTTCAAGTTCCCAGGCCAATAAGATTTGCTGACCAGAACTTTGTAGCTTTCTGTTACACTGATGCATTCCCTTTTGAGTTTCTTTCCCAGAAATGACAGAGCCTACTATGTGATAGAAGGCTCTGATCTTAACTCACTGTGCAACTTGGGGTAATCAACAAGTTTTTTCTGAGCCTCAGTTTCCTTCTTGGTATAATGGGGATGATAACATCTGCCTGTAAAAACAAACAAACAAATAAACAAACCTGTCAATTCCCTTAGCTAGGTAAAGTCTCAGTCTTCAGTTGGCAAAGTGGGTGGGTGAGGTTGGACCTCTTAGCCCTGACTCTTATGCCTAAGAATTGATTTCTCCTTGGAGCTAATTTCCATAATTAGAATTCACATGATCCTGTTCCCCCTATAAATGGTCTGTGTAGACTCACAGACTCACATTCTATCTTTTAATTCCCCCAAACAGAGGTGAACATCCTATCAGAAGAGGATTGAAAAATGACTCTTGGATTTGAAGACCTAGAGTCTTCAGGACCCCTCGTAGAGCAGAGTCAGTGGACTTGAGGATGGGGTGGGAGAGAAACTAGAATTCAGGTGTGAGAGAATCACCAGTTTGATCTGAAAACAGCGAGTGCTGGCTCATCTTTCAAGGAGTTATCTGGGAAAGAAAGGAGACATTTAGGGCAGTAGCCAAGGGAACAGCAGGGTTGAAAGGCAGATAATTTAGGATAGAAGAGTTTCAAGCATGCCATTTTTGTCATGTATTCTGCTTGGGATACATTGTCCTCTCTGGATCTGCACACCCATGCTTTTTGTAATAATTATTCTGGAAAATTTACTCCATTTGTTCATAATATTGCCTCTCCCTGCCCTATTCTCCATGTCTCTTAAGCTCCCTTCCATATTTTCAATCTCCTATCCCTTTTTGCTGCTGTCAGAATTCTTTGACTATATCTTCAGCTCACTAATTCTCTTTTTATATAAAAGTTTTTTTTTTTACAAATCTAGTTTTTTCTTCATAGTTTCTTCTTCTTTTTAAATCAGTTCAGTTCAGAGCAATATCCTATCTTCATAGTTTCTTGCTGGAAGCTTATCTTTGTAATAACATTCTTTATTTCTTTAAATGTTTCATCAAAAGATGACAAGTTTAACAATTACACTTCTTGGTGGTCTGAATCTTTGTTTCTTGTTTTTACTTACTCTTACTCGGGTTTTCAAGGCTATAAGTTCATTGCTTGGAATATTAGTGGTAGTCATTGAGGCCTAATGGGGGAAGCTTTCCCATTGAGACAGCTTGCTTCTTCTCATGGATGGTGCCACTTTAGACTTTTTAGAAGACTTGGACTAAGAGAGGGTGGTCACACTTGGCCTCCATCACCTCTCTGCAGTTCTGAGGTTCAGGGTGGTGTTGATAGAGGACTCTGGCTTCAGAGGCACCTCTCCCCTCCTGCCTCCCCTTCCTGTGCTGCAGCTCTTCATGTCTGCAGTCTCAGCTCCCAGCCACCTTGCCCTGGCAAAGATATTCCTGCCCAGGCTCCAGTGTGATCCTTCCCTGATTCCCATCCACCAAGAGTTGTGGTTCCTGACTAGTGGCCTTGGACACTTTAGGAGTAGCTCACAATGATCTATTTGGTTGGGGAAGCGGGTGGTCCCTGCAGACTTCTCTTAAATTTGTGAGATTAGCAATGCCTGAAAGTATCATTTTCAGGCTCTAGTTGTTGATGAATGGGAGGTTCTAGTATAAGCCATGATACTGAAAACTGCACAGTTTAGTTATCAGAGTTCATTCTTTTTTATTTTAAATTAGTCAGCATTACTGAGGTATAATTTATGTACAATGAACTGCGTCTATTGAAAGTGTATAGCTCAGTGAGTTTTGACAGTCTTGACCTGTGTATCCACTACCACAGTCAAGATGCCGAACATCCCTTCACCCCCAAAGTTCCCTGTTCCCCTTTGTAGTGGATGCCCTGTTTCACACCTGGTAGCAGGCACCACTGCTCCGGATCCTTACAGACTGTTTTTCATAGAAATGGAACAATACAGTTTGAATTCCTTGTGTCTGGCTTCTTTTTCACAGTACAATACTTGTGAGATTTACCAATGTGAGTTTCAAGGATTCACTGCTGAATAATCTTTCATTGTATGGATGAGCCACAGTTTGTTTATCCATTCACTTGTTGATGGATACTTGATTTGTTTCCAATTTTTGACTACTATGAATAGTGCTGTTCTGAACATTCATGTGTAAGTCTTTGTGTGGCTAAGTTTTCTTTTCTCTTGGGTAAATTACCTAGGAGTGGAATGCCTAGGTCATAGGATAGGTGAGTATTTAATTTTATTAGAAACAGTTATGAGTGGCACACTGAAAGCCCCAGGTGAAGCATGATACAAAGTATCCATATAACAAAAGCATGGATAATTAATATTTTGAAATAATAATAATAACAAAAGAAACTATCAAACTGCTTGCAACATTTTACATTCTCACCAAAAGCGAATGAGAATTCCATTCAGAGCTCATTCCTGAGGCGGAAGGGGATCAGAACCCGCCTCACTGCACTATGCTGCTTTGCGTATTGACTATTTTCATCCAAAGGCAACTGAGAAGCAGCAGATGCAGACCTGGCTCCCTGCCTCTCCTTTCTGCCCAAAGGCAGGGCATACATTTCCCGTGAGAAAGGTGCTCTCTCAGGAAGAAGAGAACATCTTAACATCGTGTAACCTACAGCGTTACATCACAGTGTGGCTCTGTTGGATCGGGACCAGCCCTTCCTAATCTCGGCTTTCTATCCCTGGGGAACTGACTTCTTTCCCTCTAACTGCAGCTCCATTTCTCATTTATGGACCTTGCCCTTCACGTCAGAATCTGGCCCTGACCTCCGGCTTCTCTCTTTGCCTGTGTTTCATACTCCTCTTACTGGGGATACTGTATTTGGCCTTTCTGGGTAACCCCCTGCTTTCGTCTCACCACAGGCCCTTTTATCTCAGTGCAGGCTGCAGCCTTATCAAGGTTATGTCAGTCCTGTGAACAAGCCCCAGACAAGCAAGGCCTGAGCAGGCCACGGCACCCCCTTCCTGCCTGAACACAGAGATGTGCTGGAGAGCCTTGGGCTTGTCCTTCATCCCGGGCACTCAGGAACACGTGGTAGAAAGCAAACTTCCGAGTTGTCCCCAGGACCACTGTAATTTATCATGTGCCTTGCCTGCCTGTTCTTCTGACCACCGTCTTGCTAGCACTGGCTAAGTCCCCTGGGAGGCTGAAGGCCTCCTTTTCCTTCAAGGTCATGTGTGATACCCTTGAGAAAAGACAGCCTCTAGCAGCAGAGACAGATACCTCCAGAATGGCTATGGGGCCCCTGTCTCAAGAGGAGTTTTGAGCTTCCCAGTCCCCCGTGCTGACTCCATCAGCACTGACCAAGGTGTAACGCAGAAGACAGTGACCACCGGGAGGGCCTGGGAGAACCTTCTCAAAGGGCCCTTGCACAGAGGGGATGGCTGGGGGCTGGGCCCTGCCCGTGTCAGGCAGAAGGAGGCCTGTAAGCAGGATGGTGAAGGTGTGTACCCAACTTTGCCTTGGTACCTGCCTCCCTCATGGGTGGGGAAAGCTGTAATAAGGGCAGGGAACTCTAGTAGCTTGACTCAAACTCCAACTCATATGTATTTCTAGTTACCCTTGTTTCTCCAGAGTTTGCTGTCAAGAAAAACTATAGAGTGAGTGTGTAGAGGGTGTGTGTGTGTGTGTGTGTGTGTGTGTGTGTGTGTGAGAGAGAGAGAGAGAGAGAGAGAGAGAGAGACCATGCCTTAGTTTCATTTGTGTCTTTCTGACTTCCTGTTTTGCCTGCTCATGTCTTTTCCTGATATTTCTGTATCTCTTCTTTGACTCTTCATGCTGTTATCTCTGTTTCCACCGGTGGTCTCTGTCTCTTTTGTCTCTACCCTTTCCCTTTCTGGTACTCAGTGGCCCCAGTTGTTAGTTTAGCCCATAGCCAGGCCAGCTTTACAGGAAAGGAGGCCTCATTTCATCTCTGGCCTCCACCCTCTAATTAAAATGGATTCTTATGCATTTGTGGCTCTCTGACCTTTATTCTAAATACTATGTGTACTGTATATCACTACCTTTTGATTCATCAACTTTAGGTATTATCTATTGACTTCCTATTCTAGTACATTCTACCACTATCCTTTCAATATGGTTATATTATAAATTTTAGATAGATCAATATTCAGTGGTGGCATTATTATTTTTTATTCTATTTTTATAGAGACAGGGTCTTGCTCTGTCACCCAGGCTGAAGTACAGTAACTCGTGACAACCTCAAACTCTTTGGTTCAAGCCATCTTCCTGCCTCAGACTCTTAATTAGGTGGGACTACAGACACATGCAACTGAGACTGGCTAATTTTTTAAGGAAGTTTTTTAGAAATGGGGTGGGGAGGATGTCTCACTATGTTGCCCAGGCTGGTCTTGAACTCCTGATCTTAAGTGATCATCCTGCCTTGGCCTCCCAAACTGCTGGAATTACAAGTGTGAGCCACTGTGCCTGGCCACATTATTATTTCTCTGCAAATATTATCCACACCTGAGTGTTGTAGTTTGCTATTATATTTCTTGTCTTATTTTTTATTTTTCCTATAGCTAGTAATTACCTTATTTTACTTTCATTTCCTTAGTTTTCTTGGAACTTGCTGCTAGTTTTTCCCACCTTTGAAGAGCCTCTCAGCAGGCTCTTTCAGAAGGCCAATAGCATCAGGTAACTGGTCTATCCTCATCTCTTGGAGACATTCTTTTCTGGAGAAACCCACTCTGCTCAGGACTTTCGGGGCCCCTCTCTCTCCAGGCGGGCTACCCAGCTCTGCCGGGAATTTGTTTTCCTCTTTGTTTGGATTCCTATTTCATAGAGTTCCTGTCTTCTTCCTTTTTCATTTTGGTTGAGCACATTCTCTAGTTGCTTCAACAACATAAAGAAATGGTGCCATGAGTGAGGATGTGGTGGAGACAGTGCTCCGACTCTTTCGTTTCTCTAGTGAAACTGCCCCAGCCTGGCCTGGGCTGGGTTGCAGAAGTGGGATGGGGCCCTCAGGGAGCAAGATGGAAAGGCTACTGGGCTCTTTTCCTCTTGCTGACAGAGCAATTCATGCCTTCGGCCCCTCCCTGGTTTCTTAACTTTATGGAGGAATGAGGTCATGTCCCCACTGGCGAGCAGTCGCTCAGCTGACAGACAGTGAGATGGAGTGTGTGGGCATTTCTGCTTCACAGCGGCTTGGTGGGTCCTTCTTGTGTTCCAGCCCCACGTGTACGTGTGTCTGGGGGTCACAACTATGCTTTTAATACTGCACCAGCAAAGATAAGTGAACTAGTGGGTTTGGGCTAAGAGAACCCAGGCATGGCCCGTAGAGCTGTCTGACCAGAAATGGGATCTGTTTCATCTCGGCCCCCGGAGTCTTGTTCACTGGGCTCTTGATTTGGGGAGCTGAATCATCCTGGCCTCACCTCCAGCTCCCCCGACTGAGCTGGGGTGAATCGCCCACACTGGTCGTCTCCTTGGCAGCTTCTAGTGTTGCCATCTCTTCTTTCCTGAATGAGCTTTGCCAACATCAGAGAGTTGCAGGGGAGCCCTGAGTCTTCTTATGCAGTGGAGGCTTTGCTGTCAATCACCCTTCTTTACCAGGCCTGCTTTTCCAAACTGGCCTGTGACCGGCAGCCAAGGTCCCATGTGTCCTCACACGTTCCGGACATTTCACTCTTTTGTCAGTATGTGGCCAAAATGCTTATATTTGAATTGCAGTAACTTTCTCCATTCCCAAATACTTCTTTGAGCACCCCTGGACAAATGTGACATTGTACTGCTGAGATGGATTCCCCATTGGCCTTAGATCACAGGTATAATTCTAGGGTTTTCTATTAATTGTTGTTTTTCCTTTTTCAATAACTGCCACCTTGCCCTCATGTTAGTACCATGTTTTAAGCACAGCTCAAAATCCTGCTGTCCTTTCCCTGCTACTTCAGAATGTATAAATGTCTCCAGTTTCTGGTCATACTTAGCCCAACTTCCTGGATTCTGAGTCTGTTGTCTGTGCCTTTATTTTTTGATTCTTTCTGTCTTTCTCCATCTACCCAGGTCATAGACCACAGTTTAAATCCCACCTCTTTGCCCAGTGGCCTAGCTCTGGAACACTCTGGAAAACCATTTTTCTCTGACGGCTGAATTTGTCATCTGCAGTAGTACCTGAAATGGTTTCTGCAATGACCAAAAAGGACAATATATGTAAACCACCTGGCAGGATGTAGGTACTCAACAGGGGCCGTTTCTCTTCTGATCAGTGTTTGGACGTGTCTCTTTATCTGAATGAGAAGACTTCCCACTTTGAATCGTGTGTGGCTGATTCTATGCGGCTGACGTGTGAGGCCCGTGTGCATGTAGAGTTTGACCTTCTTGTCGCACCTCAGCAGTCCCAGCCCAGCAGAGGTTCACATGGCCAGGGACAGGCTCAGTTTGACAACTTAAAACTGAAATTTAGAAATAAATTTCTTTCCTAACCCATCTATCTAAGGAGCATAGTGGGCCTAAAAAAGAATGTGTATGAGAGGGAGAGAAGGAAGGAGGGAGGAGAAAGAGAGAGAGAGATGTGGAGGGGGGAGGCAGAGAGAGGTAGGGAGGGAGAGATGGGCAGAGGGAGGGAGAGATGGACAGAGGGAGGGAGAGGCCAACACACCCAGCATACCTTCCTATTTGTTGACACAAATGCCTGCTGACAGATGCTACAGGTCATCTGGCAAAGAGGCAGAGAGGAATGACTAGGGAAATTCCTCTGCTGTCTCATCTGCTCACCTTCCTTGGAACTTTGCACACCTCTCATCTATCCCTCACCTCCACTCTGCAGCTTGCCAAGCACCCAGCAAGGTGCCTTCAGGCTGCTCTCCTGTCAGCAGCGGACCTCTGCTCTCACTTCCTTCTCCAGGTCACTGGTCTGAACTTGACCCTTCACCATGGTCCTGGCCGAGGACCCCCAGAAGGCATTGCTCTGGGCCCTGAGTGACCTGGAGGAAGATGATTTCAAGACATTAAAGTTCCACATACGGGGTATGGCCCTGCCTGAAGGCCAGCCCCACCTGGGCAGAGGGGAGCTGGAGGGTCTGAGTCGGGTGGACCTGGCAGATAAGCTGATTTTAACTTATGGAGCACAGGAGGCTGTGAGAGTGGTGCTCAAGGTCTTGAAGGTCATGAATCTGTTGGAACTCGTGGATCAGCTCAGCCTCATTTGTCTGAATGGTGAGTGTGGAGGGGAGAGGGGAGGGTGGGGTGGTTCTGGGGCTCCCTACTCCCATGGCATTTCTAGAGACTCCTATGGCTAGTAGTAGTTTGTGCCTTCTGCCATCCTGGCCTCTGCCTTCCTGGGTGTCTCCCATGCCCCAGGATCTCCTGGGCGGTCTCCAGCTGAGAGTTCTAACAACTGTGAGGTGGGGCCTGAGCTGAAGGTAGGGGTTTATGTATCAGAAAACTACAGCATCTTATAGCCATAACGTCCCGTCTCCTACCGTCAGCTGCAGTGTCAGAGAAGGGGACTGTGTGAAGAAAAGGGCTTAGAGAGCTGGGATGGTGCTGGTGATGGGATTTCCACCAACCAGGAGAAATGGCCTCAGGGTGCAAGGCTTGGGACCTGCCCCAGCTGCTTCCTGGCAGGCAGCCCAGGCTGCTTCTTTCAGTCTTCTGTGCCTGTGATCTCTCACGGAACCACGCTAGAGAGTGGGGTGGGAGCAGAGCCTCCTATTCCTTCTTGTGGGGTGCCGGGAAGGAGGGAAGATCTGTCAGTGCCTGTGCTCCCTCCCGTAGGCTCCTTTCATGCCTGGAAACTCCTCTGCTACAGAAAAATGGGAGGGTGTCATGGACTCCAAGTTGCAGCTGCTGCTCAGCAGCCAGTTTATCTTTAGCTTCCAGCCCGTCCTTTCCCAAGAACAGGCTCCTAGTCCCTCTCCACGCTCTGATGTTCCTTCCCTTTCTCCTCTCTCTGTCTCTACGTCTTCACCTGGCGAGATTTCCCATGAACACCCAGACATTTATGCATTGTCACACACAGAGACTTTTGCATTTACTCGTATTCTACAAACACATTTCTTGATGCCCATGGACATGCCTTCCTGCGCAACATGCAGCTTCCACGAGCACATTCTTAAGAGCACATGTGGATACAAACATCCACACACATCCCACAAATATCCACACACAGACAACACACCCTCACACTCCCACACACATGTTCACATACACACCACACACGTGTGCACACACACTTATATGCACATACAGGGGCCTCTCCTTATGAAGCCAGAACTAGAATCTTCAGGGAGATGCAAGTCAGGAAGCATAGAAGAAGACGAGACCAAAAAACAAGTCAGAGTTTAGAGGGTCCATCTCGCCTTTTTAAGATCCCATTTCACCACCTAACACTCCATTTTTCTTGCTCAGATTACAGAGAAACATACCGAGAGTACGTGCGCTCCCTCGAGGGGAGAGAAGGGGGAGTGGGCAGCAGCTACATTCAGCTGCTCCTAGTGGCCAAGCCCAGCTCAGAGAGCCCAGAATCATCTGCCTGCACCGTCCCTGAGCAGGAGCTGGACTCTGTCGTGGTGAAAGATCTATTTGGTTCAGTGGAAAAGCCAGACTCGGGCCCATCATCAGTGGTGCTACAGGGCTCGGCTGGCACTGGGAAGACAACCCTGGCCAAGAAAATGGTGCTGGACTGGGCCACGGGTACCCTGTACCGAGACCGGTTTGATTATGTGTTTTATGTGAGCTGCAAAGAAGTGGTCCTGCTGCCCAAGGGCCAAATGGAGCAGCTCCTCTTCTGGTGTTGTGGGGACAGTCAAGCCCCTGTCACAGAGATTCTGAGGCAGCCAGAGCGGCTCCTGTTCATCCTGGATGGCTTTGATGAACTGCAGAGGCCCTTTGAAGAACAGTTGAGGAGGATGAGCCTGAATCCCAAAGAGGACCTGCTGCGCCGTCTAATTGGGAGAAGGATACTTCCCACGTGCTCCCTGCTCATCACCACCCGGCCCCAGGCTTTGCATAATCTTAAGCCCTTGCTGAAGGAAGCGTGCCATGTCCATACCCTAGGCTTCTCTGAGGAGGAGAGGAGGAGCTATTTCAGGTCCTATTTCAAGGATGAGGAGCAGGCCAGGAAAGCCTTTGAAGTTGTAGAAGGAAATGCCGTTCTCTACAAAGCGTGTCAGGTTCCAGGCATTTGCTGGGTGGTCAGCTCCTGGCTGAAGAGGCAGATGGAGAGAGGCCAGGCAGTCTCGGAGACTCCCAGAAACAGCACTGACATCTTCATGGCCTATGTGTCCACCTTCTTGCCGTCTGATGACAATGAGGGCTGCTGTGAGCCCTCCCGGCACAGGGTCCTGAGGAGTCTGTGCTCCTTGGCCACTGAGGGGATCCAGCACCAGAGGTTCCTGTTTGAAGAAGCTGAGCTCCGGAAACACAATTTAGATGGCCCAAGCCTGGCTGCTTTTCTGAGCAGCAACGATTACCAAGAGGGACTTGACATCAAGAAGTTCTACAGCTTCCGCCACATCAGCTTCCAGGAATTTTTTCATGCCATGTCCTACCTGGTGGCAGAGGACCAGAGCCGGCTGGGGGAAGCGTCCCGCAGAGAAGTGGAAAGGCTGCTGCAGGAGAAGGACCCAGAAGGGAACCAGGAGATGACCCTCAGTGTGCAGTTTCTGTTGGATATATCGAAGAAAGAGAGCTTCTCCAACTTGGAGCTAAAGTTCCACCTCAAAATTTCTCCCTGTATAATGCAGGATCTGAAGCACATTAAAGAACAGGTGGAATCTCTGAAGTTGAACAGAACCTGGGATTTGGAACTCTCGCTGCACGAGTCTAAAATAAAGAGTCTGGTAAACAGTATTCAGATGAGTGACGTGTCGTTCAAGGTAGAACACTCAAATGAGAGGAAGTCCCATAGCAGCAAGTCATTTTCTGTGAAAACCAGCTTGAATAATGGACAGAAAGAAGAGCCAAAATGTCTTCCTGTGGGAGCACAGAAGGAGGTTTCTCATGGAAAAGGCGGTGGGGCAGAGGAACCAGACAAGGACGCTGGGGGCAGAGAAATGGGGACAATAGCACTGGAGGGTCAGAAGAATGGGGGGATGGAGGGACAGGAGGATGGGGAAAGACCCACAGCAAGTAAAACAGATTGGAGAGCTGAGAGATCAGAGTAAGGGGTACTAGAAGGAGTGAAGGGACACCTAGAAAAGAGAATTAGATGACAGAGGATCAGAAGACTTGAACACAGGACCTGGGCAAAGGCCATGTGGGATGAGTCTTTAGGAATATCCCTATTTACCACCTGAAAGGTGGTCTGACTTATATAACCCATCTAACAGAGGAAAATAAACTATCAGGAAGTAAGAGAAATAAAATCATAACTACCCTTTGTTTAATTAAAACACGTATGGCCTACCTTGTTATCTGTGAGTTGTTTCTCAGCCTTGAGAAAGTTCCTGAGCAGATGGTAGGAGTGTGAACTTCCCCTTCTTCCTCAGGAAGAGACAGTTTCAGATGCCTACCCCTATCGAGAAGAAGGAAGAGACTATTAATAATTTCTGCCATCAGTTTGCTATGTGAGAAACAGGAAGAGCCAACACACCAGCTTCACAGCTGCTTTTGTTATCAGTTACCTGAAACAGAGAGGAAAAAAGGGCTTTTCTACCCTTTAAAAGCACTGAGCAACTTTCCTCGCTGCCCGACACTTCTTTCCTCCCTCTGTGTGTTGTGGTCACTCTCACTCTCTCTCTCTCTCTTTCTCAGAAAAATAAATAAACTTTCACTTCTGTTTATCCTAATCGCTGTCTGAGAATTCTTTTCTACCCTGTGCACGGACTTCACACCGTAACATTGGGAGGAGAAACTGAGTCACTTCTCTGCCTCCATACAAGGAGTTCCTTTCTCAGCTCACTTCTCAGCTTCTGTCTTGAGACTCCTTCCTCCCCTGCTGCACAGCTCACAGGATTTCATTCTCAGTGTCCTCATTCGGAATTTGGTATGTCTCTAGGGCTTCTGAGATTGTCACACACTCGAAAAAGAGTGGGCAGTTCTGTGGTTCAAACGCTGCTACTGTCCGACACTCTCGGAAAGGTGCCTGAGAAGGGTGCGTCCTAGCCACCTCTTCCCGGATGTCACCCAGACCCAGGGATGCCTGGCACGGGGAAGCTCTTCTCTGGGTTTCAGTCTGGACCAGGACTCGGGGACACCGCCTTCTGGCCAGCACCCTAAATTTCGTTTCAGGTCTGACTCAGAACTCAGGGATGTCCAATGTCTGACCAGCACCTCCAAAGTCGTCTAGCAGGGGATGCCCCACTTAGGCTTTTGGTGTCAGTGTCTCGATTTATGACCACTCCTAACGTCCCTCCCCCCTTTTTTCCTCCTAGTTGGCTTCAGGAGCAAGATTACATTACATGACAAGGAAATTTGTCCTAGGAATGGATCTCTTAATCATAATGCTATTCTGCCGCTCAACCTTCTGTTGCCACTGGCACAGCAAGGGGGTCTAAAGTTCTCTATGTTCAGGCCTTCTTTAAACTTGCCAGAAATCCTAATCGTCACTCTGCCTGCTACTTGTTACTCCTTATTCCTGCTTCTCTGTCTTCGCTTTCCAGATAAGGTTCCTTTTTCAGCTCCACCATTCCCCTTCCTCCTCTTTGTTCTTCTTTGTCTCCACCACTCTTGCCCGGCGAACAGGCTTCCTCCCCGCCTGTACACCAACTCCCTCTTTGAGAGGCTGCGGGGTCAAAAGACATTGTAAATCACTCAGAGCCAGCATAAAATTCCAGTCCTTTTCCTTTCGTGACTGTCCTCTTTACTATTTAAGTCCTGACACCTGGGAGGAACAATTCATCCTGGCAATGCACTTCATCTCCCAATCGGCTCCCAATATTCGGCATAAACTGAACAATCTTGAAAAGAGGCCTCAGACTCCACAAGTGGAACTTTAAGACTAGCTGTTGAGGTCTTTGATAACCAGGATAGGGACAGGCGAGAGGAAAAAGGGGGGAAGCACGCCCACAACAAGGCCCCGAGAGCAGAAAAACATTTTCAGATGGTGGCTACCCCAATAGGAGAGGTTTTTCAGAGACTGAGATACCCTGGAGGCTCAGGCAAGAAGATGCCAGGACCATATCCTCCTCCAGGGAACTACACCTTGTTTCCTTTACAACCTGCTGTAGAGAAATGCCCCAGGGAGTGGCGCTCACAGCTGGAACTGGCAGAGGCCCCCTGAGCAGGCATCCCTACCCCCACCGACCTTCTAGGACTACTTCAGTCTGATGGACAGAGCCCGGCTTCAGAACAAGCTCAACTTCATCACACTGGGATGGCTGGGCCTGGGGTAACACCCTCTTTGTCACAGGTACTAACAACAGAGCCACTTCCTCTGCTCTTCCTGGATTTTCAGGACCTCTGTTTCCCTCTCCTATCTCTATCATCAGAGTAGAAGGTAAAATATAACTCCCTGTATATTCCACAGCCTCTCTACCTGCTGGGAGATGGAGTCTTTACCCATTCCCTTCTGCCTTACCCAGACTGGGTAAGCATATTAAGAACAGATGGAATCTATGATGTCTTTCAATAGGTGAATGGACAAACTATTGTATATACATACAATGAAATATTATTCAGTGATAAAAATATTCTCTAGCACGTAGACTAAAAGAAACAAGCTATTAAGGCATGAAAAGATTAGGAGGAGTCTTAAATACAATTACTACGTGAAAGAAGCCAGTCTGAATAGGCTACCTACTGTATAATTCCAGATACATGACATTCTGGAAAAGGCAAAACTATTGCAAAAGGTCAGTGGTTGCCAGGGGTTCAGGGAGAGTGGGGGACAAATGACTGGGTGGAAGCACAGGCACTTCTATGGCAGCAAAACTATTCTGTATGATACTATAATGATGGATACATGACATTAAGCATTTTTCAAAACCCATAGAACTGTACAATACAGTGAACCCTAATGTAAACTATGGCCTGTAGTTAATAATAGTGTATCAATATTGCTTCATCGATTGTAACAAATGTACCATGCTAATGCAATAGGTTCATAATAGGGGAAACCTTGTGTGGGGGTGGTGATAGTGGAGAGGGAACATGGAAACTTTCTGTATTTTGTTTTAATCAGCTGTATTGAGGTATAATTGATATAAAATAAACTGCACATATTTAATGTATACAATTTCATGAATTTGGAGAATTTGGACATGTGCATACATCTGTGAAACCATCACCACAATCAAGGTAATAGGCATAACCAGCACTTCTAAAAGTTCTCTTGTTTTTCTTTTTTGTGATAAGAACACTTAATGTAAGAGGTTTTTTTAGACAGGATCTCCTCTGTCACCCAGGCTGGAATGCAGTGGCACAATCATAGTTCACTGCAGCTTCGAACTCCTGAGCTCAAGTGTCCTCCTACCTCCACCTCCTGAGTAGCTGGGACTATCGGTATATGCCATCATGCCTGGATAATTTTTAATTTTTTTGTAGAGATGGGGTCTTGCTATGTTGCCCAGGCTAGAGTGCAGTGGCATGATCACAATTCATTATAGCTTCGAACTCCTGGGCTCCAATGATCCTCCTGCCTTGGCCTTCTAAGTAGCTGGGACTACAGGTGTGCACTACCACATTTGGGTAATTTTTAAATTTTCTGTAGAGAAGGGGAGGGTCTCACTATGTTGCCCAGGCTGGCCTCAAACTCCTGGCCCTCCTGCCTAAGCATCTCAAAGCACTGGGATTACAGGTGTGAGCCTGTGCATTCTGCCCTCTTAAACATTTTTAAAGTGCATAATGCAGTATTATTGATTATAGGTGGGCACTCTGCTAAATTTCCCTCTATATCTAACATTGCTCTTAAAAAACTAAGGAAATCTGAATATAGTATGGACTTTAGTTAGTAAAAAAGTAGTTAATTTTCTTCACTGATATATAAGATATTAAAACATATTCTGGGTATTAGTCCTTTATCAGTTATATATTACATATATCTCTTCTTATTTTTTGGCTCATTTTTTCAGTCTCTGAAAAATTGTTTCTGTCTTTTGATGAAGGAGTCCTTAATTTATTCATATTTTCTTTTATGATTAGTGATTTTATTTCTGTTTAAGAAATGTTTCCCATTCCAAGATTAGATATTCTCCTATGTAAGCTTCCAGGAACTTTGTTGTTTTACTTAATAAATTTAAACCAGTAGGAATTAATTCTTGTATATGGTGTGGACAGGGATAAAGTTTTGTTTTCTCCCAATAAGAATAATCAGATGATCTAGTACTATTTATTCAAGAGATCAATCTTTCTCCACAGTTCTATAGTACCATCTTCCTCATAAATCAAGGATACATAGGTGTGCCTGTTCTGAACTTTCTTTTTTTCTTTGATCTATTTGTATATTCTTGTGGCAAAACCATGCAGTTTTTATTATGGCAGTTTTGTAATAAGTCTGCCATTTGGTAGTTGAAAGTCCAACAACTTTTTCTTCTGGGCTTTTTGGTCTATTTTAGGCCCTTTGCATCTACACTTAAATTTTAGAAGCAATTTTTCAATTTCTAAGAAAAACATTAGGATTTTAGGGTTTCGGTTGAAATTGCATTTAACCTATAGATCAAATCTGGGGGCAATTGACAACTTTATAATATTGAGCCTTCCAATCCATGAACATATATAGCTCTCCTTTTACATGTATTTAATGTCTCATAGCAATATTTTGTAGTTTATATTTTTTGACATCATTTGATGCAATTATAAATACTAGTCTTAAATTTTTATTTTTCTGTTTTTTACAAGTAGCTTTTAATCAATTTAATACAATTTTTTTGTATATTGATCTTATACACTGTGACTTTCCCCAATTTACTTATTTTTTAGCAGTTTAAGAGCAGATTCCTTGGACCTTGTATTGACACAATTATGTTGGCTTCAGATGATGCCAGCTTATTTCTTCATTTCTAACCACTGTACCTCTTTTTGGTGCCTGTTGTGTTTATCTGTAGATTCTAGTCTTCTTTTCTTTCATTAGACTTTTCTTGAATGTTTAAAAATATCTTTGCTAGGTGTGCTGGCATATGTCTATAATCCTAGCACTCAGGAAGTTGAGGCAGGAGGATTGTTTGAACCCAGGAGTTCAAGGCCAGCCTGGGCAACATAACAAGATCATGTCTTAAAAAAAAAAAATAATATATATATATATATAAATAGTTTGTAATTCCACTCTTTTAGATATCTTCTTCAAAGATATCAATTATATGCATTGGATTTTCTTTACTTTCCAAGTCTATAATTTTTCTGTAGTCACTTAAGCCTTTCACTTTTTGTTTTATTTTTCTTGATTCTTTCTGTTTTCTTGTTTGTAATTCCATTCTTTTATATCTCTTTTTCAAAGATATCAATTATATGCATTGGATTTTCTTTACTTTCCAAGTCTATAATTTTTCTGTAGTCACTTAAACCTTTCACTTTTTGTTTTATTTTTCTTGATTCTTTCTGTTTTCTTTTTTCTTGTTTCTGTTATCAAGTTTACTTATAAGTGAATTTGGTATTAATAAATACAAAAAGCATCATTCATAACAAAGATAAACAAATACCCAAAAACCAACTCTGCAATAAAACCTATTTCAGTAAGTATCAAGAAAAAAAATAGGCAGATGATTTGGTGCAGCTTTCTTAAGGAATCATAGAAGGGATAGGGTTTTAAATAAGGATGGCAAGATCAATAATCAAGAAACACTATCAGTTC